TCTAAAAACACTTAGTGGTGCCAGGAAAGGTGTTGGAGGATGCCATGGAGCCCCTGAGCACCACATTGGGGAATCCTGGAGTAGAGATTGGAGACCAACGGATAACTTATATGTATGGGAAATCTGCTATCTGTATTCTTTATGTTCTTTGCCATGATTTTAGAAGTACCAAGAAAGCTGCCAGAGAAGAAAGGACGATGCCGAATAAAGGGTGCTGGTAGGCTACCCCCTCCCCTCACTGCATTGTGGCCCTAGGAAGGATTAATTACTACGCTGTAGTACTCTGTGAACAGCTCTGAGACCCATTAGGGGTCATGGGCGGTATACAAATCACATGTAAATAAATAAATAAATAAATAAATGTACTAATGTGGCATTTATACAATTTTAGAGAACATATACCTATAGATAACTTTGTATGGTGTTTGAAGTTATAAGAGATTCAGGTAGGTAGCCATGTTGTTCTGAAGCAGCAGAACAAAGTTTGAGTCCAGAGGCTTGGAAGGAAGACATTCTGGTTAATTTGTATCAACACAGTGGGCTTTGATATTTTAGTCCATTATATTCTTCTAGATCAGTTGTGTAGATTGGAGGCACTTCTTTGCAGTAGTTCCATTCAATGCTCCTTCTAAGCTGTGAAGTCTTGTGAGCAAAAATCCTACTTTGTGAGCTACTGGCATGAAAGTTGTGAGCGAGCGATTTGGCTACTGCATAAATTAGTTTGCTCTGGAGCCATCCTTCCTGAGCTAAGACAAAAATGTGTGAGCTGGAGGCTAAAAAACTGTGAGCTAGCTCACACTAACTCATCTTAGGGGGAACAATGGTTCCATTCCTATCTTATCGGTCACTGTCAGAAAGTGATATCGAAAAATCATTGCCTTCTACTGTTTTACTTGTTCTAGTGGGTGTTATATGGGATCTATATAAAGCCATGGGATAGATGGTCTAACAGCTTGGGGTGATGAAGTGTGCATGCATACAAAAGCTTATACCCAGAATTAAACTTTGTTGGTCTTAAAGGTGCCACTGGACTCAAACTTTGTTCAGTTTGGAGTGAATTGGCACTTATATATGATCACAATAGCAGTGGGTTCCCTAAATATGTATTTGGAAGTTGCTGTGGGCTCACAGAGTAAAGTTGAACCCAGATAAGACAAAGATATTATATACTAGGACCTCATAAAGTGGGAAATGGGCACTCATCTACTCTAGATGGCGTCATGTATCACCAAAAGGCTTCAATTCATAGCTTGGGATAGGAATACTCCTAGATAAATAGATGGCCTTTGTGGCTAGCAGAGCACTTTAACTGCTCCAGCTGGTCTTGCGCAGGACCAGGATTTAAACTAGTCGTACATTCCTTGTCCCTTGTACAGATCAAATGCCATAATTAGTTATTGTCTAGGGCTAGTGAAAAGTATGCAGACGGAGAGTGATTTCAGCAAAGCGTACTTTATTTGATCAGGAACAAGACGACTTTGGCCGGCTCGCAGGCCGGCTTATATTCCCCGAGAAACCGCCACCCAAAACACACACCCCACTTCCCAATAGGTTATTTACAGTGGCCGAGAGTCCCACAGGCTCTCAGCTGGGAACCTAGCCCCCTGATTGGAGCGGGCTAGGATCCGCATAGTTCATTGTCTTTTGGAGCGAAGCTCAACGTTTGTGCCTGACCGCGTGGAGCCCAAGCCGGCCATGCGGTCTGGACTGGATACATTACAGCTAGTGATAGAAAACATATAATAGAAGTGCTTGAGAGACAGCAATTATTAACAATTAGCATTGGGCACAATTTGAAGACTTGCCCTGAGGCTTTAAAGCATAAGTTTTCCAGTTGGCAAAAGGAGGTTCTGAAATCTATTAAAACATTAGACTTATCTCCCCAAGCCCTTTTGGATCTTGGAATAGATCGGGCAAAATCACTCATCAAGCAAAGAGTGACAGATACCTAAAGACAAATGGACATCTCAAGATCTCCAGAACTCCCGGAAAAGATCAGGGCCCTGCGGGATCTTTTACAGTTCCGCAGGGCCTGCAAGATGGAGCTCTTCCACCAGGCAGTCAATTAGGAGCCGCCACACCACTACTACCAACTCCGGTGGGTGTGGGTTGGCCCTGGCCTGGTGCTTGTGCCATACCATTGTGCAATGCCGAAGACAGCTGAATCGGAAATAATTGTTGTTTACCATACAGTATGCCATCTTAAGTACTGAAAGACAACTACTACCACTAGCACTTTGTCGGACTGTGTAATGTTTTAATGTTTTAACTTTTGTATATTTTATTTATTTATTTAGGCATTTTTACCCCGCCCTCCCCGCAAGTGGGCTCAGGGCAGCTTACAAGGGGCAAGAGCCCATGCATAAAACCCAGGAAGACAATAAAATCATAAATAATAACAGTAATAACAATAATAAAGTGCTTTCTGTGAACAAGATGGTCTTGAGTGGTTATGATGATGATTTTATGGTACTGGTACCAATTAATGTAAGCCACCCTGAGCCTGCTTGCGGGGAGGGCGGGGTATAAATTGAAGTAATAAATAAACATTTCCTCAGAAAAAAACAGATACACTGCAGCCCCAGCTGCTTATTTATATTTTCTGACAACACCAGAAGGGCATTCACACTGGCCAGAAATTCAACTTTACCTTCCACAGTGTTTAAAGCAATCCCTTACCCCTTAAGGCTCTGTTCTTGCTCTCTGTGTGAAAAAACACATTTTTAAAAACCTAACTATATAAAGGTCCGATCGGAAAGTATTAGGCCACTGCTAGGAAAATTTTCTGGGTGATCAAATAAAATCAAGCTTGATTATCTCCTGTCAGATAGAAACCACAAGACTACTTGACAGGTGGCTAAATTCTGTGCTCAGGTTTATAAGCATCAAAAATCCCTTTTGGCAGTATGACTTTGTAGTTATTTGGCATGATTGTGTAAGTTTTTAAGACTTAATTTTATATTTTTTATCTTTAAAAAAATTCAACCAACTGTATTGCTGCCTCTTGCATTTCTCAGTCAAACTGTACCGCTGGTCACTGACTGTTGTAATAAAGTGATTGATTGATCCTGAATCTAGCTATTCAGTGAGATCATCAGACTTACTCCATGTCTGCTTAAAATTAATACCTAAACAGAGAATGGGCTTCTTTATAGCAATATCTTGCACCTTTGAACCTACCAACCCAGCCCAAATTATTTTATTTATGAATATGGTGAAGAGTATTTTGTTTCCTCAAGTCCTTTTGTAGTTCGCCCACTAATATTTTTATGCACAATTTGTGTCATGCTTTTTATAGATATATAATGTAATTATTTGTTTATAAGGTGCTTGGTAAAAACTGTGAGATATAATTAAAATAAGAAGTCTCAGAAAATTCCACGTGCATAAAAATTGTTGAAAAATCTAGTTAACAATCCATATTATTTACAACTAATCCAAAAATGCTTTGCATAACTGATTCACATATAAGTTGTTCCTGCTAGTACAATACCACCTCGCCGCACCGTCCATCCACCAGACCCTATGAGACCCGATGAGGTCGATCAGTTGCTTAAGCTGGGACGCGTTTACCATCAAGATCACAAGAACAAGTCGCTGAGCATTTTGTAAATTGTATAGACTGCATAGATTTTAGCACCAATTTCACTGTATAAAAATCGTTTTTATTGTTTTAGTATTTATGATGTTGTTAGCCGCCCTGAGCTACTGGATAGGGCGGGATAAAAATAGCAAAATAAATATAAATAAATAAAATAAATAGTCTTTCCCCAGTCCCCAAATTGTAACAGTAACTATATTTTCATCAACTGCAAGCATGCAAAGCAGCATCTTTAAGTAAATATTATAAAGGCTCCATAAGAGCATCCCAGCTTTTCAATATGCTAAATAATGTCATTGAAGAATATCATTCAAGTCTTGTGTTTTGATTTCTTTGTAAGTTATTGTTTGAGGGAATAAATTCTTCACTTTCAAAGAAGTACCTATCCATCTCCATTGGCTATCTTGATTATGATCTTTAACACAGAAGACCTGGAAGATGGAAAACTCTTAAGAAGGACAGTATACAGGTTGTCAGTTCTAAGTACACCTGTTGTATTAATCAGATAACTTTATCCACCTGGCGTGAAATCGCGACAGCTATCCTGGATCAAATGCTCCTGTAAAAAAAGATTAACTTCTGCTTCTGTTTGTATTGCTAAGTGTCACCGTTGTCTGAAGCGGAGGTTTACAGGCACCTCATTGCAACCCTCGGGGTCTCGCAAGCGAAATATGCTTCAGCGTTGCAACCGGGATTGAAAGACCTAGTCTTCAGTAAAGGTAAAGATTCCCTTGCTCGAAAGCCAGTCGAATCCGACCCTAGGGTTGCGGTGCTCATCTCCGTTTCAAAGCCGAAGAGCCAGCGCTGTCCGAAGCTGTTACCTTCCCACCGAAGTGGTCCCTATTTATCTACTTGCAATTTCTTGCTTTCGAACTGCTAGGTTGGCAGGAGCTAGAACTAGTCTTCAGTACCACCCTATTTAAAAACAACAAACGTAAAACAAACAAACTGTACATTTCCCAGCATGCAGTGAATAACCACCGTTTAAACGGCATGTACATTGTAGGGCTGCGCGTATGCATCTCCCTGCGACTGAACGCTAGGAACTGTAGTTTTTTCTTAAATATATCCAGAATAAGTTTTTTGGGAAGAGGGGGAATCCCCATTTCATTTTTCCTTTAGTTTTCTCTATTGCACGATTTTTGTAGCAAAACGAGATGGGCAGGGAAAAGCTCACGGCATCGCCTGCAGTGGTGTTGCTAGAGAAGTCGGAAAAGTCCAGGGCGGAGCATCTAAACTGCCAGTACGACCCATCCACTTTAAAAATAAATACCGCCTTAAGGCGGAATGTTATTGACCCGGATACTACCCGCTTCCGGGAAGGGCGGGGTAGGAGCAGAGAAGCTCAGCTTCCCTTCCCGTTTGCCTGAAGTCACGTGAACGGGCACTTACGGCGCGGAGAGGGCACGTGACGCGAGTGGGAAGCGCACGGGCGGGGGGTCGACATGGGGACTACGCTGGATGTCAAAATCAAGCGCGCTAACAAGGTGTATCATTATGGGGTAAGCGGCGAAGGGCGTGGCGGTGCGACAGGAGAGGCGGGTGACTGAATGGGGAAGCGGCTGCTTTGCTTACCGGAGCAATTACGTGGATGCGTACTTGAGAGTAAGTCCCACTGAACTCAGTGGGGCTGGTTTTTGTGGCTGGAGGAAGAGCTGCTGTATGTCTGGAGATTATAAGCTAATTGTGCCTTGGGTATGGAGAGGCTGCTTAGTCTGACGCGGTTTTCGACTTTATTTTATTAAATTTATTTATTTTGTTACGCTTGTATCCCGCCTTCCCCGCAAGCAGGCTCAGGGATGCTCGGTGGAGTTTACTGTTAAGCTAGTGTGCGTAGGATTGTGACCTTGTATAGCGTGTAATGGTAACCTGATTTTCACGAACAGGAGATGAGGATGGATCAAGATGGATAGCCGTGTTAGTCTGTCTGTAGCAGTAGAAAAAAGCAAGAGTCTAGTAGCACCTTAAAAGACTAACAACCATTTATGCAGGATATGAGCTTTTGTGACTCACGAAAGATCATAGTCTGCCACAAATTTTGTTAGTAGAGGAGGAGTTTATTCCCCATCCTGCCCGTATTTCAGACCGTGTGGAGGATTATATGACCAAGGTGGTTCCCTGGAAAAAAAACCAATAGAAACTTAGCATACCAGTGTGCAAGGCTACTTCTTACTCACATCTGCTGTTTTGAAGGGCTTTGGTGTGTGTGTGTGTGTAGCAGGGTTCCTTCATGTAACCCTGGCTTGCATTCCATTATCTAGGCACACCATTTTACTACATGATCTACTGTTCATGTGGGGGGAAAGAATTGCCCACTAAATGCTTCTTTTCAACCAAAGTTGGTATTGCATTATAAATATCAGAGTAGTAGAGAGAATCTGAACTACCCGTATTTAGTAGGCAATTCTTGCATTGTAGGGCTGCTTCTACAGTTATGGAGGATTTACAAGAAGAAAAATGATCAAGCTATTATTAACATGTTCTGTTTACTTCTGGATTGATGTAATTTATAATTAACTTATAAAAGGCAAAGTGCAAAAACACCTTCCACTATTCAGTGCAGTCCCTGCCTCTAAAAGCCAGCCTGTATTTCAGAACAACGCTCAGCCTTTGATGAGTTTGTACAGAAAGAGAAGTTTGGCTGTTAAGAGATGGTGATTGAATGCACTGCTGTCAGTGCTATTAAAGTCTTGGTGGTACAGAGAAGAATTCAAGAGATAATAATATGAGAGAACTCAGAGGGATGCAGGGGAGTATGTGGTCTCTAGTGGTATGTTAAACCCCAGTGGTTTAGAGGTTTATTCAGCTTTCACATAATGGTTAGATGATAACTGGAAACCAATAAAGATGCTGGAACACTCTTGTAATACATTTCTGGTGACCTGCTGCTTTCAGGAGGCTGACCACCACCATTACTAAAAATTTTGAACACTTATGAAAGGTAAACCTTTAAAAGTGTGACATAGTAGTCTAGCTTTAAAATTCAAAAGCATGGATGATGGTTGCGTATTATAGCATTCTTTTCAAATGGAAGAGGTGAAAGGCTGAGGTATTGATTCAGCAATACATATCTTGTATGACCACAGGAGACTGATTCTTTCTCCCCTTTCCTCAGTCCTAATTTAAAGTCTCTGGCAAGCCAAGATACGGGAGACTTATGAAGGTCTCATTGGGTTATCATACATGGCTGACAGGCTGCATTTGGCATGGTAAATTGCAAACTGGGGAGACATAATGCTGCCTGTAGGTGCATCAGTCCTGATGTAGGTCTTCTATGGTTTTCTTGTTTTCTCCTTTGAGCTTTAGAGGGCGTCTTCAAAATTGGTAGAGAGAGACAAAGAACCCAGTTCAGAACTTCAGTAGCTCAACCCTTATCTAATAAACACCAGTTCTGAAGTCTGTGCAAGATCTGAGCTCTTGCTATGCAGGCTAAGCTCAGAGAGGACTGTGCTTCCCTGTGGGAACGAGCCAATGCTCTGTGCCAAATACGCATTACATAGGAGGCCTGTGACCAGATCTCCTGATACTCTTTCTAAAGCAGCTTGGTAGGGGGCTGTTTCAAAGTGTTAAAAAGGAAATAAACCCACAGATCTCCTGTAAAACTGGTAGTTTGGTTCTCATTCTTCACATGTAAGCAAGACGCTATTCTGGCAAGACGGATGCAGTTATTTGCAATACTGTTTTAGATGAATGATTTGAAAACAGAGCATCCGAAGAACTTTGTGGCTTATTCATTCACAAAAGCTCATATAAAATTGTCTTCAGGTGCTGCTAGACTTGTGGTTTATTCAGTGCCATTGACAAAATAAAATACACAGGTGTCGTTAAGTAAGCTGCAGATAAATCTCTTTTTAATTATAAATCCTACTCTTGGTAATACCTGGGCTTTCTTTTCTTAGGAAGTCAGTTGCTACAACAATGACACAAACCAATGTTATCAGTTTTTCTATGTATGGTATCTTTCATCCAGGAGAATCCCAGGATATACAGAAGAACCTTGTAAATGAAGCAGAGCTGCATTTTCTGTTGAATGTGCTAGTTATTTGATAACGTAGTAGTGTTGTATAGCGGTAGAAAATATAACAGGTTGACAAACAATAATGGTTTTACATTATAGTAACAGCCTTTGATTGCCAGTGAAATCTAAAAGAAAAGGTGATTCCTTTTTCTTGTTTGTGTTCACTCCGCACCCCCCCCCACCTCAATTTAGGAAGTTCTCAGTGGAGTGGTGGTCATAACAAGTAAAGATTCAGTACAGCACCAGGGAATCTCTTTAATGATGGAAGGATCTGTAAACTTACAACTCAGTGCCAAAAGCGTTGGTGTGTTTGAAGCCTTCTACAATTCTGTTAAGGTAAAATTACTGAAGAAAATATTGGTTACAGCAAGCTTTCATTAACCTATTTATCTATGTGATGATTTAAAATATCTGTGGGAAAGATTGGGTGGTTTCTGCTGATTGGGGCTGTAATTTGGTAGTAGTTTAAAAGGCAGCTTTTCAAAAAGATTGTAAAGAACTTTTTTGATTTGGTCTTGGTAGATGTAATATTGAAGTCTTTGAACTTAGATACAAAGACCAGGAAAAAATGGGAAATGCTTTTTCAATGAATTTTTTTCAATTTTCAGGAGCACTGGAGGAACTCCTATGATTTTTTATTCTTCTTTTGGAATGAATGAAATTAAAGTTGTATGAGGGTGTTTTTGTCCAAATAATACATGTACACGTGTATTTTTAAACTACAGCATTTGTTTTCTACCTTCGACTTTTAATTTTTCTTCTTCTCAGATGACAAAAATTAAGACACATGTGCAATGATAGCATAGGGTGCAGCAGTTTGGAACTTTTTCTCAAGTATTGTGCATATATGCAGTTTATCTTACAGAAAATAGAGACACATACTTCTGAATTCCATAAATGTACCAAATAGTACATTTTTATAGGCAAACTAAGTTATAAATTAAATATTTTATGTTGTTTGAAATTTCTATCCTCTCCCCCCTCTTAAAAAAGTGTTGTTTTTCCTCCCAGGCATCAGAATTTCCAGAAATCTTTAATCTTTGTTTAGGTTGGATCCTGTGATATATGGCTACAAAGCTCATAGCTCTTTCCTGTGTTCCTCTCTACCCAGCAGTACTTTCCACTACTGGGAAAATGTAGTATCCACACAGTTTTGCAGGCTGCAGTGAGGAGACCCCTTGGCCTCTGCCCTCCCTTCAGTCAGCACAGTTGTGCTGACAGACTAGAAAGAAAGGTCACTTCATTCCTTTCCCCCTCGATATTGCAGCCTCTGAACTGGCATAGCTATTTTCCCAGGGTTGGAAAGGACTGCTGCACAGAAGGGAATGTAGGAAACATCTGCAGCCATGCACTGCTATTGCTGATGAATTGTAGGGTACAACTTCTTGTCTGAATATTTTAAAGATCCAAGTAAAGCTATGAATCTCAGCTTTCCACCTTATTTATGAAAATATTTGAATAGTCATGTGAGGCATTTTAAAAGTGAGAATTTTGAAATGGTTGAGCAGTGAAAATGCAGTGGAGAAAATACTGGAATACTGTAACCAACGTGTATAGCTGCAGTGCTGAAATTTGCTTTAGTGCCAAGCTTATTCAGCTCTAGGCACAAGCCATAACATTTTTTCTCCCAGGCTTTCTGTTGATTTTAGTACTACCTTTTTCTGAGTGTTATAACAACTAGCTTACAGTTCTAATACTTTAAGTTGCTTCATGAGTAATTGTATGAGTAATTGTATCTTGCTTCTCCATATACCTCCTGCCAACCTAGCAGTTTGAAAGCAAGAAATTGCAAGTAGATAAATAGGTACCACTTCGGTGGGAAGGTAACAGCGTTCCGTGCGCCTTGGTGTTTAGTCATGCCGGCCACATGACCATGGAAACGTCTTCGGACAGCGCTGGCTCTTTGGCTTTGAAACGGAGATGAGCACCGCAACCCTAGAGTCGGACTCGACTGGCTTTCGAGCAAGGGAACCTTTATCTTTTCTCCATATACATGAAATAATGGTATAATGCCAAATCAAGCTTCTTGCTTGCCTTTTTTTTACATGAGACCATCACCAGAGTTTTGTCTGGGGCTAGTGGTTAGGCCCATCACCTACCACCAGTAGGGTTTTTGTAGATTCTTTGCATTTCTTTCTTCATGATACCCAGTGTTGGCGATCCAACTCAGTCTTCAAGACCTCTATAGTCCACGCATGCAACCAAAACCACAACATAATAAATCACTTAGAGCTGGGAATATTAAATGTTTGAATACTGAGAGGATTAAATATACAATGATACGATATGAGGCAGTGTAGGACAAATGCAGCTATTGATGTTGTATTGGTCAGGCGAATAGACAACTATATTTCTTTTGCATTTCTGCCAATTATGTTTGAGTTTGGTGCTCTCCAGGGAGAAAGCAAAACAGCCGTTCCTTGAAGCCCATAGACTTGTATACAACTAATGTAATAAAATATCTCATCCACTCTTTGCTTTTCAAATAGGACAGTGATGGTATATAATATAATATTGTCTTGTTTCTATTTTTTTAAATAGAATAAGTAATTCTGTTATGTAATATAATTGATAAGTGGTTAATGTTTGGCTTTTATTCCTTCATACTTGACACACAAGATAAAAACACTTACATTTCTTAATTCAACAAATGAAATCATTAATGAGACACAGATTTTCAGTATTTCTAGGGGAAATTATTGCTTGTATTTGAAGTATACTAGGAGTAGCCTGGTTTCTCCTGAACCTCTCAATGTTTCATTTTTCACAGCCTATCCAGCTTATTAACAGTACTGTCGAAATGGTAAAACCTGGAAAACTGCCCAGTGGTAAAACGGAAATTCCTTTTGAGTTTCCACTGCAGATAAAGGGAAACAAAGTTCTCTATGAAACTTACCATGGAGTTTTTGTCAATATCCAGGTAAGAGGAGCTTTCCACTTGGCAAACTAGCACTGTTTGTGGGGAATGTGTAAAATTTGCTATTAATATCAGTATAGGCCTAAACAATCACAAATGTACAAGAAAAGAAAATTATACTTTTATCTTCCCTAATAGTTCTACATTCTACTTCTCTTCTAATAACCACTTTCTAATAGCACAAGAAAGGAAAATACCTGGTACAATAAAGGAATTTTTACAGATTAATATATTGTGTTCCTGTATTTTCCAGTTGCTTGCTGCTTTAAGTGCCACTGAAATCACGTGTGAATTGTATCTGCCCTCTGTTTCCAGATTTCCATTCCTAATACCAATTTGTATTTAATGAGGTGGTTCTTATTTAGCTTATATTCAGGTTTCTTTCAGACAGAACACCTGCTGTGTGAAAAACATGAAAAATATGATGCCAACTCATAAGTACAGTTACTTCCTATAAACTTCTAGATGAGGTGGTTTGATGCCTGCTGATGATAAAATGTTTTTATTGTACTTGAGCACATGGAAATAAGTTCTCTTGGAGTCACTTGGAATTTTCCAAAATTTTCAGTGGCCGTGTGACTTTATTGCTACAGGCTATACTGGGGCTCTTCAGTTCCCTTCACTCCCCTTTAATGTCCAGAATTTTATATGCATTTTGTCCCATTTCACATCTGTATACCTATTTCTCAAGTGTGGGTAGATCTGCGGATACCTAAATCTGTGGATTGGGCCCACACTGAAAGAATGGAGATTGTTCTCCAAACTTGGAACAACCAGGTGGGCGAGGAGGCTACTTTTCATCCCCGTCTCTGTAGCTGCTAGCGCAGCTACCCTTTTAAAACTTTATCCCAGCTTCTAATCTGTCAGATATCAGGGAGAAGCAGTGCTTGAGGCAGGTGAAGGAGGAGATACTTCACTTCCTCCCCACCCGCTCCCACACTGCTTATCCTTGTAGCCTGACCAATTAGAAGCTTGGTGAAAGTTTTAAAAGGACAACTGAGCTGGCAGTTATAGAGACAAGGGTGAGAAGGAATTTCTTTGCCCTCTCGCACCCCTCTGTAGCTGCCAGCTCAGCTGTCCTTTTAACTTTCTCCATTTCTAATCAGTCAGACTGCAGCTGAAGAGGTCAAGGTAAGTAGGAGAGGAGGGAGAAAGAAAGATGGGTGGAATGTTGACAGAAGTGTAAGGGAGTCCTCTCATCACCGCCTTGTAGGCATCCCACACCACTTGAATAGGAGTCTCTTTATTTAAATTTTGTTGGAAAAACTGTTTTGTTTCTTCTTTTAATAAATCCACCGTTTCTTTCCTGTCTAGCAGGTCTTCATTTATTCTCCATAAGTATTGTTTATTGTTCTTTTTCAAACTCCATATCAGTGGACTGTGGTCTGAAATGACTTTAGGCAGAATTTCAGAAGAAAGAAAAATTTAAGAAACAAGCAGCAGTTTTAGAGAAAATTACACAAAAGAAGTGTAGGGGGAAGAGAGGGTGGTAAATTATCCGAGAAACGAGGAGGGGGTAAAATACGTGGGAGATTGACAGAGAAAGTGGTGGGTAAGATTGTCAGGGAAGGAGAGGGGAAGAAAGATTATTTGAGGAGGGAAAGGGAAGGGAGCAAAGGCAGGGGGTGCACCCTCCCTACAGCTTTCTTGCGGGTCCCGCGTACTATACTTTATTTCTCAATTGGAACAAAATGGGTATATTAACATGCCATCAGGGTACATAGATTTGCCTAAACATAAGAGGAAGACAGTTTGATTGTTGTTAAAATGGATGTTAATTTTGGGCAAAATGGCCCAAATTTGTAACCAGTTAGGTCATGTTTCCCTTTGATCTTTAACTGAGATAAATCCAGTAAATTACAAAGCCCCAATCCATCCAAAAGTTCAAGTCCCGTTAAAATTAATGGGATATGTAGTGCCTGAATTTTGGATTATGTCCATTGTGTCTAATCCTTGTTTCATGGCCATTTCATGTTGTATATTTGATCTTGGGTCTCACTGTGTTCTTTTAGAATTTAGAAGTATTTATGAAGTTGCTTTCCACAAAATTTTCTCTTTGAGATTGATAAAGATACAGGGGTAGCAGTTACTGAGTCTCCTCCTGACCAAGCCATGATTGTGCAGCAGACTTTTTTGATTGTGCAGTAGACATATAATGGCATGAAATAAATGTAGATCTTACTTTTTGGCAAGTGTGGGTTTTAATTGATTATAGATGTATTGTTTTGAATGAACCCAAATCTTCTAAACAAGAACCATGTTTCTCTGATGTTCAGTCAACAGAGTAGGAACTATTAGTGTTCAGTTTTTCATTTTTCAAGATGCAAAAATCTGCTTTTCTTTTGCACAGTATACCCTTCGGTGTGACATGCGGCGCTCTCTCTTGGCCAAAGATTTGACGAAGACATGTGAATTTATTGTCCACTCCCCAGTAAGTTGGGCTTCCAGGGGTTTTGACTAGCTATCTAAATTTTGTGTATCTTCATATCTGTTTAGTAATATATGTTATACTTAAGTAATACCCAAGAGAGGCTCTTTACTTAGTTGAATAATAAAATTAATCTGTTTTTTGGTTTCACCTCCCCCTGCATGTACTGGCTCACACTCTGAGGTCTGTCAAGTAAGCCTTTTGGCAGGAGTTCTGTTGGAGAATTGCTGGGAACCGACATTAGAGTTTCCTCAGCAGTTGCCCCTTCCCTTTGGAACACTTACCTCTTTGCTCTTCCCTAGAGGCTTTCCAGTGTCAATGGAATCTTAAAAAAAAATTCTGGAAGGCCTTTTACTGGTTACATCTCTCCCCTGTGTGTATACATTTCTTATGACTGCTGCCTGTTTTAACTGTTTTGTATGAATTTTATCATTGTAAACCACCTTGACTGTTTTTAAATAGAAAGGTGGAATACCAATATTCTAACAAAAAATAAAAATTATTTTCCCCCCTGAAGGTTTTTTTGTCTAATGTAATTAGTTGGGACAGTCTAGTTATCTGTTTTTGTGCAAAAGGTCTGATATCATGGAGTGTAGTGGTTTTGTTTATTTCTGAAAGAACACATAGCAGCAACTTGCTTAAACTGTTTTCTTTGGAAGCTGGAAGTCACGAGGCTTGGCAAGGTGTGCACTATTTATTTATTGTCAGATTTATACCCCACCCTCCCTGCAAAGCAGGCTCAGGGCAGCTTCCAATGACATAAATACATGATAAAAACATACATAATACAAATTAAAACATAACATTTAAAATTAATACATTACAAAGTGCTGGCGGCAGTTAAAATTCAATCAGAAGGAATGCTTTCAGATGGGTTTCCAGCTCCCAGCATAAAGTGCTTAGATGTTATTCTGTTCTTCACTCTTATGGCAGCTGCTCAATGATGACTTTGTGGGCCGTGCACTACGGCGGCGGCCCCTAATTATATGCCTGGCGGAAGAGCTCCGTCTTGCAGGCCCTGCGGAACTGTGAAAGGTCCCGCAAGGCCCTGATCTCCTCCGGGAGCTCGTTCCACCAGGTAGGGGCCGCCACTGAAAAGGCCCCGGCCCTAGTAGCAGCTAGCCTGGCCTCCCTCGGGCCAGGGAGGGTCAACCGATTTTGAGACTCAGACCGTAGTGCTCTCTGGGGTATATACAGGGAAAGGCGGTCCCGTAGGTATGTTGGACCCCGGCCATATAGGGCTTTAAAGGTAAGAACCAGCACCTTGAAGCAGACTCGGTATGCTATTGGCAGCCATTGCAGTGTCCTCAGCACAGGCTGGACGTGCTCCCATCTAGGGAGACCCATCAACAGCCTGGCTGTGGCGTTCTGCACTAGCTGCAGGTTCCGGATCCACGACAAAGGCAGCCCCATGTAGTGAGCGTTACAGTAGTCTAGTCTCGAGGTGACCATCGTGTGGATCACTGTAGCCAGGTCAGTGTGGTCAAGGGAAGGAACCAACTGCCTAATCAGCCTGATGATAAAAGGCCAACTTGGCAGTGGCTGCTACCTGGGCCTCCATGGTAAGGGAGGGATTCAGGAGTGGGATCCCCACTCCTGAACCTCCGTCTTTGCTGGATTCAGTTTCAGCCGACTCAGTCTGAGCCACCCAGCCACGGCCTGCAAAGCACGATCCAGGTCATCAGGTCTGGAGTCCGACTGGCCGCCTAACATCAGATAAAGCTGGGTGTCATCAGCATACTGATGACACCCCAGCTCTTGCCTCCGGGCAATCTGGGCAAGGGGGCGCATATAGATGTTAAATAACATCTGGGACAGCAGAGCCCCCTGAGGTTAAGTACTGCTGTTCCAAAGCAGCGAGGATGTATATAAGACAGACATGACAGTGGGAAAGAAAAGACTGAAGAGAAGCTGTGCAGACCCTATTTTTTAAAAAGAAACTCCCTGATATTTTATGTGGAGACTGTCATTCGTGTGATGAAGCTATAAGGAGAATACTTGCTGTGTTAACTTTCTAATACAATTTATTTACTCTCCATATCTTCCCATGACTATGAAGTGTCCCTACTGCAGACTGCCCGTCCCCCCCAAAAAAAAACAACTGGTGAAACCATGTGGTCAGATGTGTGTGTGTACAGTAAACATCTGCTACACACGTGGGCAAAGGTAGTGCAGCACTGATGGCCTAGTGAGCATGGCTGAACATTTCCTTCAGGGTCATTATCTGGCTGGAGCTGTAATGTCCTGGGTCTCATCCTAGATCTAGCAATAAATGATTCCAAGTACATATTTTTGAAAGGTTCTCAGGTGTATAAATGGAATATTGCTTTTAAGTGTCATGGTCACTGTGTTGCAGCCTCAGAAAGGTAAACCAACCCCAAGCCCGGTGGACTTCACTATTACTCCTGAAACTCTACAGAATGTTAAAGAGGTAAGACTGCTGATACCTCTCTATGTACTTTAGAGAACTTGTATCACATGACATGGTGGGATACAGAGTTCCTCTGTTTTACCTTCTGTCTTTTCCCTGGATTTGATTCCCTCCATTACAGTGACTAAAGTAGTATTAGGTTGGTCCACTTGTTATGTCTGTGGGCATTGTCTTGCTATTACTAAGGGAAACTCAGCACAACTCTGTAAGTGTTGACATTGCAAAAGGTTAGTATCCTTGGATATATTATTCTGTAATATCCCACATGACTGCAGATTGTTTTGTTTCAATCCATTCTCATTCTCTTGGGCTGCGGTCACACGCAACATTAGCCACGCAAGTGATACGGAAGACAGGCGGAGTTTCCAGGCGCGATCTCACCAGCACATCTGGGGAGCGTAGTGCTTCTGTGGCACAACCGAGGCTTCCTCCCGAAACCGCGCAGCAGGTTGCGGGGCAAGGGCGGGTGTCTGATCGCGTTTCCGGTGGCATCCGGCGCCCGCCCATGTCCCCTTGTGAAAAAGGTTTTTTTTCCTCCAAGTCCCCGTGGTTGCGCACATGCACCCAACGGAGCATGCGCATTCGTAGTGAACACAAAAAAAGAAAACTAGTTCGCCGCGCCGCGCGCTTCTTCGTTGCGCGCAGGCATGTGTTGTGATCGACGCCTCTCCGTAACCACAGAAGCTCCACGGTACCTCCACAGAACCTCCACAGGAGGTATGATCGCTTTACTGTGTGTTAGTTTGCCCCAGGGCAAACAGCCACGCTTCCCCCCCGCAGTTTCCTGCCCGTGTGACCGGGGCCTTGAATTGGTTTTCTAAGACGGATGGAGAGATGTCATCAGAAAGTTGAGAGAGGGAGGAGAACGTAACGGATGGTGTTTAGGAACCCTTTTGCATCCTTTCATTTGAGAGAGTCTCCCACCTCAATATCCTTATGTCCTAGGGAACTGCAAAGAGGAATGCTGCTGTTTTTATTTGCTTTAGGGAGGCATCAGTGCCTTTGTGATAGCAGCTATTAGACCAATCCCAATCTTGCATCTCAGGCACATTTGCGTGCTTAGCAACCAGTACTATTCTCACCCAAGAAAGACAGACATACTTAAGAGGGCTGGAAGGAAAGAGTCGAAAGACGAATTGTGGGCATTTGGAGGTGAGCAAGCAACAACTCAATCAGCTGCTGCCTGAAACACAATTGAGTAACAGTGCAGGGGGAAGCAAGGACACATTCTCCACAGTTTGGGACAGATAAACAAAAGCTGCTCATTATGAAAATCTCACCCTGTCAAAGTCGTGGGGTTTCTGGCCCACCATTTCCTTGCAAGGATGATTTGATTCCCCTGTCCCCAGACCTGGGATGCTGGAACAAATTCCCTTATGATAGTTTGGCCGAAACTGGGTTTGGACTCTCACACACACAGTAGCACACATCAATAAAAGCAATAGAATTTATTGAAAAGATTAAAAATGTGGTTCAGGCTTAAGCATAAGGGATGAATAAAACAACAAAATCTGTCTTCCTACATCATACATACATGAAGGCAGGCAGGGTACAACATCGTCAGATCAGCATACATAACAAAGCAGTAGATTGGAGATGCAGCGAGATGTTCCCTGGTCCTGATGGTATTAGTGGGCTGTGCTTGGAAAACCTGTACCAGACAGTTGCAAGTTAACTTTATAGGAAAACTGGACCACTGACTCCCTGATGAGTATAAGCCAATCAAGAACGTGATCCCACAGATTATTCTCAAAGAAGAGTAAGACTCCCCCCTTCCATCTGAGTGTAGTTAAGTCAGATTGCTTTGATATTCAAAGGTGCAATCTCAAGCTTTTTATCTTGGCTTGGGAAGCGTGGTAAGTGTTTTATATGGAACTCTTCCCTTGTTATTCTTTAACTCTTGGATGGCCCGAGGCTTAAAAAGCTGTGAGCTAGCTCACACTAACTCAGCTTAGAGGGAACACTGGTTGTAATTGATGTTACTAAAATATTGTGGAATGTTCCATTAGATAGTTCTGAACTCTTTTACTAGAACAGCTTTTCTTTCATGTAACTGCTTTTTGTCTGACCATCCTCCTCTAATGACTTAACATTCCATTTTGAGATTAGACGTATTTGGCATACAGAGGAGTTTGGCTGATACATATAACTGCCAAGGTTTATCAAACAATATTGTTAATGGGGAAATGTTTGCTGCTTTTGTGTGTATTGTATAGAATAAAATTATATGCCAGGCCTTTGCATAGGAGGAGCCGCCGCCGCCGCCATTGTGCCACCACCGAGTTGCCATCTATGACGGTGGATTAGATCTATAAGTGAACCGGCCCTGGGAAGACGCCCAGGTGACCAAGAACTTTATGTTGTCAGGCTAGGTTGATAAAAGGATCCCATCTTGGAGAGATAAGTTAATATCTAGAGCACCGCACTTTATTTATTGATTGTTTTATACTGTTTTAACTGTTTGTTATGGCATTTGCCGCTGTTGGAAGCCGCCCTGAGCCCATCTGGGGAGGGCGGGATACAAAGCTAATAAATAAATAAATAAATAAATTTAGCCTCTTACTAAGTGGGAGTTTCAGTTGAAACAATTATTTCCCCCCGCCAGTAGTGTCTATATTTGGAGGAATTTAGGTCCTGATTTTGGAAGTCCCAGAATAGGGGATCCATAGTTACAGCTTAGAATGAAATATGACGCAAGTCTAGTTGGACAAGTAGTGGTAGAAAGATCTACCTTCTTCCATTAATTTACAGCGCAATCCTATAAACATTTTCCTGGGAGTAAGCCTATTGAATTGACCTGAGTAGGATTCTAAGGAGACCTGCTTAGAATTGCATTGTTAGTTATGTAACAAACTGCTACCTGTTTTTAGGATGTTTTCCTACTGACTTTTCCCTCTTATTTCACTTTGGGTATAGAGGGCATCACTCCCAAAATTTCTTATCAGAGGCCATCTCAACTCAACAAACTGCATTATAACACAGCCACTGACAGGGGAGTTGGTGGTGGTAAGCTCAGAAGCTGCAGTTAAGGGTATTGAACTTCAGCTAGTACGAGTGGAAACATGTGGTAAGTCTTTACATAAGAACTGGTATGATATACATTTTTTGTTCCAATATGGTAGAGTCCAGTTTATGTGTTAGGTAGTTCTGACATATAACCACTTGCTTAATGTGCTAGGTCATTATGCTGTATCATGTACTACATGTAGTATGCTACATATACAACCTGTCCGCAATTCACATGCATGTTGGCTTGTCAGAGTTAAATATAATCACTGGCATTACATTTATTACTAAATGGCAGTACTTTCTGTGTAAGAATTTTCTAACATGTAGCAGCTCAATTTGGAATGCCACTATTGTTAAAATAGTATATATCTTCTTAAATCCTGCTTTTCTAAAGGCTGTGCTGAAGGTTATGCTAGAGATGCAACTGAGATTCAGAATATTCAGATAGCTGATGGAGACGTTTGCAGAAATCTTCCTATTCCAATCTACATGGTGTTTCCACGGCTTTTTACCTGCCCAACACTAGAAACTACAAACTTCAAAGTTGGTAAGGAGACAGCTATTTTGAATTAATAGCATTCTTATTTTGTGAATGAGTTTCAGGTTAATGCCTTACCAACAGACATACTGATCACTCAAGATTAGCAATTTATTAGGGATCAGAAAATAAATTAAATGTGACTTGCCACCACGGGGTTTTTTCCCTAAATAAAATTAGTGCTTTTGATATGTTGTGTCTTGTGATTTGCCATACTAGTACCAGTACCTAGGTTTCCCCCATCAGCTCTAATGCTGCTGTGATGAAGAGCCATGGTATATCCCAGAGGGTGTACTTGTTGAAAGTAAGATGAAGAAAGGATGTTCTGCAGCCACTTCTGGTTGGATTAGTTCTTGCTGAACAACCATAAAGGGAAGAAAGAAGCACTTTCTCAGCTCCCTTTGTGTTGCCTAGGCCTATGGGACCAAGAGGGAGATGACAACATCACTATCAAGGATTCGGGGGGGGGGGGCTGAACTCAGGCTTGCAGCTTTGCATGGAGTGTTATGACATAAGGTGGAATTTTTCTTATCTAGTGTTCAGAGCCCATGGAATGGGATGGATCTTAGTTTTTGTTCTTTAAGATGTTCATTAGGTGGCCACTTTAGAATTTTCAAACTATACTATAGGCTATGACTTGTCTGTTGCACGGTTTAGTTGATGAATTAGAGTGCATCTTTTAAAGTATTTTTATTTTTAAAATACCCCCATATAAAATAATATAACTTGTTCAGGTATTTATATAAAAAGACCCTGTAAGTGGTAAGCTCCACCTTAGAAAGGGCATTCCCTCCTGTTGAGACAGAAAGGGGAACGGCCCTTCTTAAATGAAAGCCGCTGCGGCACACCAATGAAAGTGTTTTTTCTTTAGCATCCTTGTTTTACTTCATGTAAATCTAATTGCTAATTGTATACATTTTTACTGGATCATTTAGCCAAAGATTTATTTAATTGGGTGATGGTTAGAATGAACATATCACTAAGGACTGCAGAGGCACAGGACAGAAAAGTAATGTTTCTGTACTTTGAACTAATCCCAAGGCTTTTTTTTTCCCTTCTAGAATTTGAGGTTAATATTGTCGTCCTCTTGCATGATGATCACCTCATCACAGAGAATTTTCCACTGAAGCTCTGCAGGATGTGAATATTTAGGACAGTCATTTTAGGGCTATCGAAGGAACCAGATGCCTTCAATCAGATGGGAATCCATTGAACTGGAACTAAGCAGTAGGATTGCTCCTCCCTTCCCTTTTTCTAGCTCTGTGGCAATAAGTCATAATTCAGCGTTTTGAATGGTGGGTACGAACCATCAGTTAAAACTGTAAAAATTAGCACATGTGGTCTGTTACCAATACCAAACAGATGAAACTTCTCCACTGTGATACTGGCTAGCAAGTATTTATCAAGTTCTGTATTGAAGAGATGGCTGTCTTTGATGAGAAACTATCAGTGCTCAGAATCTGTTGTAACATTCGTTTTTCATTTTGACCCTTTGTGCATTAATTCTGATAATGAGGGACATTTGAACTCAAATGGTTTCCCATCCATGTCTTCCTCTTATTGCTACGTGACAGCAAGCGAATGGTCTTTGTCTTAGAGAGGTTTTTAAGCTCTGTTAAAAGCAACATGTCCCAAATCTAAATAAAATTGGATTGATGGGAATTGTACTCAAGAAGAGTTGACTTGTGTATGAACTTTAATGAGGGCTGATGGAACATTAAGGAAATGTACTTAGAATGTCTTGGTTTCAAGTTCTTCCATAACTTGGGGAGATACTGCAATATTTAATATAAGTAGCACATAACTTGTGTATAGTATCACAGGGTCAGCCGTGAGAATTAAATTTGGTTTGCATGATACTACACTGCCATCTCCTGATTGCCATAAGAATAAATGCACTTGAGAAAAAATAATGTAAGACTGGTGCTTCATGGATGTTGCTCTCACACATGTATATGGTAGGTGTCGGAGAAACTGTTCTAGCTACTGACCAAGAATTTTTTTGTCTGAGAGGTATCAAGCTATGTATTGAATGATGTCTTGTGCTCTGGGGATAGAGAGTGGAGCAGAAGGTTGTTGATGTAGGAACAGCCTGAAGATCTGCCATGAAATAGAGGTGCCCTGTCTTGGTAATGAAGCCTGCTGTTGAATTTCAGAAACCTCCTGTGCTTGGACTGACATGTGTTTCTGTGTGAATGGCTTCCAGCACTAGTTTACAGTTTTTGTCAGAAACTCCTTTTTTGTGTGTGTGCATGATAAATTTTTCTGGTGGTTCAGTTCCAGAAAAGCACACAACAATTGCCATTGTTTTAACAGAAAGAGTAAGATGTCTGAGGACTGCTGACTCTGGGTCACCTTTTGGATTGCTTGAATCTCTAGAAAGTGGTAAATTAATGACATGCTTCTTTGGAGCTTTGGACCTGGGAGAGGGAAGAAAACTTGACACTGGGGACTTCCATCACTTTTGTGAAGTAGCTGAACTGAAGGCTTTGTTGAACACAGTTGTCTAAGGTTGAGTTCTGCCAAATGTGGCTGTGATTTTGAAACCAAATTCCTGTTGCTGGGACTTGAGTCACATGGGGAACTGGTACTCCAAGGTCTGTGGTGTTGGCATGCCCTATGAGCCAGCCTGTAGAGCTGGAACCTAGGTTTAGACCAAACTGGGTCAGGATATACCAAAATACGTTTGTTTTCTGTCTGAAATGCTACTTCAGAAACTAGCATTGGCAAAGTTGCTGTGGGAGAGGCACGGAAGGTGGGCGGATTATCCGGGCGCGATCACACCCCAACATCTTGGAAGTGGAGTGCACCCGTGGCTTACCGCCGACAAGTGCAAAGGCTTTGATCTGTGCCCTTCCCGGCTCATTAAAGCAGGCCACGAGGGGTTCCGATGTGCCTTAAGGGAAATTATCAATAAGTCCCTCTCAGAGGGGCTGTTCCCGGGGACACTCAAGGAAGCGATGGTCTGCCCACTCCTAAAAAGACCATCTCTGACCAAGGTGGAATTGGCTAATTACCGGCCGGTCTCCAATTTGCCCTATTTGGGCAAATTAATTGAGAGGGCGGTGGCCACTGTACTGAAGCTTTCACACCCATACATAGTAATGGGAAATACTTGATCTTGGTCATACAGTTAAGAATCTTTTCTAGCTTCTAGCTTTTTCATGGTTGCCATTCTCAATTCGAATCACCTTCTGATTTCTTGGTTGCAGACTTGAAACGACTACTGATGGTGAAAGCAGAAAGCCCCAAAGCAGGATTACAGATGATCATCCAAAAGACACGACTACTGGGGAATTACACAACTGTAAGGTTGGGGATCCCTCTCTAGTTTTGGATAAAAGGCAGTACTAAGGAGGTCTTACTGGAAGAAAGAGTGCAAGGGGCCACAGAGTCAGATTTTAATGGGTACCAGCTGCATCTTCAATCACCAAAGCGGAAGCAGCTTTTCCTCATGAGTGGGGGGGCATGACCAATGCAAGAGGCTTTACCTCCATCCTAGTGGAGAGCCCCCAACTTTTGGTGAAATGAGATAGAGGAAGGAAAAATATTAACAAAACATCACAAGCTTAAGATCACCCAAGACCCTGTTCTCTGTGTCATAAAAGAGGATCACTCTGGGATGGAATTGAGAAACCCTGATGCTCACACAGGCACACTGTTACATAAAGAACCTTCCCTGTGCTGCTGTAGTGACTTGAGTTATTCAGCCCCACCTACCTCACAGGATGTCTGTTGTGGGGAGGGGACGGGAAAGGAGTTTGTAAGCCGCTCTGAGACACCTTTGGGTAGTGAAGGTCGGGGTATAAATCCAATGTCTTCTCTTCTTCTTCATACCCATACTTCAGAAGTAATTCTTCATATCCTTTCCGTATAATGGTAGGGGAAACCTTCCACAAAATGTGTCAAACCTTTAGTATGGCCTCTGGTAAAGGCAAACCTCTGCAGGCAGGAATATTCTCCTTGCTGCCCAGTACCAAAAGATCTGAGCCCTGCCTTCCTTACTTCAATGTGAGAAAATGCAGAATTGGCTTCTTTGAATGATATTTGTTTGCCTGGCAATCTAGGTTCATTAGTATCTTTGATGAGCGTTCAATTTGTACTTATAGCTAAGACACTTGAAGGTGTGGAAGTCCCTTGTAGTTCAGTCCTGAACAATTCTTTCTTGTCCAAAGAAAAAACCTGCCTCCTATAATAAGGACCACTGAAAGGTGGCAGAATAACTCCTGTGGGCACATTCCACCATGGATGTGTTGGAAAAATTTACCTACTCATAATAAAAAAGTTGGTTTATAGAGCTTAGTTAAGCAGAAGAACTACTAATAACTGCAGTTAGTATGCATTCATTTCAGGAAACTTAAATTTCTTTTAAATAAGTTAACCATATAATTAATATTGGTATTTATTTGTTCAGAAGACAGAAGTTTGACACAGAAACCATTAAAATTGATCAAAAAGCATTTTACTGTTAAACTACAGAGAGTCATTTAATATTCTGAATAAAAGGAAATTATTAATCAGTGCGTATACTATGCTGCAAGTAGCTTGTTTAGATATCAGGTTATTGAAGTTTTTAAATTATTCAGTCAAGCTCTTAAACAATGGTTCATGCAATGATACAATAGGAAAGGTTAAAATGTGAATGATGTAGCTCTGGACAGGGATCCCTAAAACGGCTCTCTAACTTCATGTCAGAAGGCAGTTTTAGACACCAATAGCGTAACAGAAGCAGAATTACAGTTGAACACATTTGTTCATTGTTCATAGTGAGGGAGAACAGTTATTAGATTTTAATATACTGCCATAAAAGCATTCCAATGTCATGGGCTGGATCCAAAGGTGCCTTTCATTAAACAAAAGACCGTTTCACATCAGTATCAAGAATACTGCACAAAAGTGATCATGATAAATCCAAGGGTGATGACCTGCTTATGGCAGCATTATGACTGCTACATAACCACTTACACCACTGGGTAAACTCTAGAAGCTACTTCTGTCTCCCACTAGTGACTCTTTGGATCCAACACCAAATTATCTAGAAGGAGAAATCTTTGAAAACAAGGCACTAACATGGGGAGGGGGGATTTGGTTATGAAAAAATGGATATTACCCCTCAAAAAAACCCCACTCTTGGCAGCTGTAATCTTCAAATTTGTTAAAGATGAGCAGTCATTAAGAATTAATAAGAATTAATAAGAATCAGACCACCAGTATACTGAAGTTTTTGCCTAATCTGAAAGCCCATCCTTGAGTTTTAGTTCAGATCTTACATTACTCGTATCCACAGAAGTTAGAAAACAGATCTACATTAAATTTTTACTAATTTTACTTTTCAACAGAATAAAGCGTATTAGGTGGAGTTTGAAAGCTGGTACATTTACCAGTTTTGCTATAGTACAGCCAAGATACATGTTGCTTAATATTACTAGTGGCAAAAGCATTACTGAATAATATGCTATGTCCCCTAAGATGCAGCAAAAGGACACACAGTGTGAAATATTAATTTGACCAGCGGTCAGGAAGAATGGCAGACACTATATTATATGTTTAATCCATAACAGGTTGCATACAGCAACATAATTTCAGGTACATCTGTTTCGTCCAGGAAGCTCAGGGTAATCTTCAGGTAATAAAACATGACGACGACATGTTGGACATGTACTATGCTCCTTAATCCATGGACCAATACACTATTGAAGACAGGAAAATGATCCATTAGAAACAATCACATCTGTGTGAGATCAGTAATATTTAGTTATTTCTTTTTAAATGTGCTTTTTCCAGAAGCTCAAAGCAGTTTTAGCACCCACTCTACTGAAAGAATGTGTACAAAAATGTAGTGATACTTTCTGACAACCTTTAAACACCAATTATTGCAGCAAGCTTAGAATTTATTCTAATACCTGTAGGAAATGACTTATTTTGAATGTCTGATCTAATAGTGCAATCAACTGATTACGTTTTTTGTTATGATATGATTAATACATTAAGTGTCCTCAACTTGCAACCCCTCCAATTAAAATTTATCATTATTGTTTTCAGTGATAGGCTAGATTTAATGGCAGGTTATTGACTAATCAGCTGAACTGCTTATTGATCTGGATGCTAAGCACTCCTACTGAATAAAAAAATACAGTCTTCGTTAACAGCTGTCCTTGATAACACCTGATTTGTCATACAAATGCCAGAAAGGCTTGGATTTGCTAGGAAGTCATCTGTCTTTGCCTTTACCATAAGTTATTTTACAGATATTAAACTATTTTATA